TGTTTCCTTTCTTATATAGTAGCGTGACTACCCCAGTGCTCAGTTCGGGACCTAGGGATTCTTGTTCCCAGGCTTTATTCAGAAATTTAAGGAGGAGAGGGCCTAGAGTGGGTCAGTTAGCTTCCCAAAATTCTTTGGTTGGTCCGTCTCTGCCTGGTGCTTTATTGTTCTTTAGATCTCTCAGGGCTTCATGCAGTTCTTCGAGTGAGATGGGTAGATCTAAGGAGGTTGCCGCCTCTGAGGATAAAGTACGATCTAGGTGAGCTAAGAATTTATCYCTASCTYTTGATGTTTCGTTGGCCTTTTCTTTTGGGGTTTTAGTCGTGTAAAGGTTCTGATAGAAGTTGGATGCAATGTTGATCAGTTGTGTGGTTTCTGTAGTTGATTTGCCCTGTTCGTCGATCAAGATTTCTATTTTGGAATTCCTTGAGTTGGCCTTTATTTTTTGGAAGAAATACTTTGACATTTTTTCATTCAGTTCCCAATCCCTGACTCTTGCTCTTAGCTGTAAGCCTTTGAGTTTAAGTTTGGTCCATTCGGTTAGCTCTTCTTTGGATTTACTGTAAAGACCGACGAAGAATTGGGATTTATTATTTTGCTGCAGATTGAATTCTGCTATTTCTATGGCGTTCTTTAGCATCTCTTCCCTTTCTTTTCTTTTAGCCGCTAGTTTCCTTGAAGTCTGGGCTACTCTCGTACTTATTTCTTTTATTATTTTTGGGAATCCGGTGTAGATGTCTTCGTTAGCGTATTGCTGTGTGCTTTGTGAGAGGATCCCGGTTAGGTCCTTCTGGAACTCTAGGCTGGTTAAAAGGGCATTGTTGAAACGGTAGAAGCTTTTACTTAGGCATCCGGTTCTTGAGAATCTAAGGGATAATGTAATGGGCTTGTGATCTAGGCCGCTATGGTATGGGGGGTTTCCGATCGAGCTATCTTGTAGGGCACCTATTAAGGAATCCGTGATGAAGAAAAAGTCTATTCTAGAGAATGATGTCCTGTTTAGAGTGGTTCTTCTGACGCATGAGAATCTTTTGCTATCGAGATATAGGAGGCGGAAAGGGTCTACTAAGTTTTTTTTAGCCATGAAGTCTATTAATTCGAGATTGTTGGATTGGTGTGGAGGGACCCCACATCTCTCATACGCTTCTTAGGAATTAACATCAACTCAAAAGGCTGTCACTCAATAGCTGCCCAATCCTTATTATCTTCAATATCCAACATAATGCACAAATGGCAAGGAACATACACCTCCTTGCTCGGACGTGCCTTGGCATTACACAACTCAATCCTGGCATTGATGTGGTACACCACATCGATCTGATTCCCCTCAGTAGATTTTCAACATCACATCCGTCGGAGAGCGACAACTTTCCTTTCGACAGGTGACCCTGACAAGCAACACTTCATCCATAAAGTAGCATGGCAAATAGTCACACAGCCCAAAGGGAAAGGCGGACTAGGAATCATAGACCCAACACGTCAAATCCAAGACTCCAAATAAAATGGATCATCAGACTAACACTACAAGACAACCTTCAATGGATACCTCTAGCCCTCAACAACATTAGGGAATTGGCACCTTTCCACTCCCCGCCGAGCATGACAGGTCTCTTCTGGATTTACAACCCAGACTGGCCCCTGCCCAAAGAAAACAGCAACAGAAACCACCATCAAGACACAGAAGAGGAAGAGAACCAAGATAACAAAAAATATTTTTGGGAACAACTCATTCACCAATGGAGAAAGATTTTTTCAAAGAACAAAGTGGGCCCCAAAAAAAAGGATGAGGTCCTGAGACAACCGCTTTTCGGCAACCCATGGATACTAGATCACAATGGGCGGAGTTACCAACTCAACAGAACTAGCACCAAATGGGGTAACTGGCTAGAAAAAGGGGTTTGGCAAATCCAACACCTGTGGAACGAAGACACAAAGACCTGGAAAACAGAGAAAGGAAGCCACAACTTAGAAACCAACATTTCTACTATCATCGACAACATCCCTATGGATTGGAGAATCCTTCTAAACTCCTCACAGAAATGGCTTTGGGGAGACTGGGCAGTTCATAAGGGACAGTCAGTTATCTAGGAGATTCTCAAGATAATTAGATATGAACAACACAACAAAGAATGGGTCCGGTGTTCTATTTTCGAGCTAGAGGAACCAGGCAACCCATTGAGTGCCCTAAACAAGGAAAGCAGGGCAGAAGGAGCTTTTAAAGCTAAGAACCTTCAAAGAATCAGGGTAATCGAAGGGGATACAAAYAGAGTTTTCAAGCCTGGTACTGAAATACGACACTTAGAAATAGACCCAGCTGAATGGTCCTGGAGCACACCAACCCCCCTATCTCAAATCGAACGCCACCATAGGCTAACTGACTACACYCCTAATCTGGGCTACAGGCTTCTATCAAAACCAACTTCAGTATCAAACATACTCCAAAAAAGATGGGCCAAAGAAGAGACTACCCTCTCAAACCTTACCATCAAACCAAACTGGCACTCGATTTTCGGCACAAGACCAACCAAACTAGCCAGCCTACTATGGCTACTAACCTTCAGAGCAGTCCCCGTCAACCTACGACTATCACAAAGAAGAAAAAAAGAAGAGAGAACTGTAAACTCAGCATGGTGCAAAGTATGCAATTTACAAGCCGAAGAATCCCTCAACCATTGCTTCATATAGATTGCGTAAAGACCAAACAGATCTGGGAAGACATATTACTAACTTCGAACAAACATTCCAAAAGTAAAATCACAATTAACCCAGCTACTATGTTCCTAAACATGGATCAAACCCCCACGCTCACAGGCTTCGAACTCTTCCTCTTTACTCTAATAAGGAAAGGCACTGTTACATCTTCGACTCACACGGGTCCTACCGGACCCGACTTAGGGCCGGAGGGATACACCAGGGCCTAAAGGCCCGACCTTTGGGGTTACAGGCCCTAAAGGCCTGATTTTGGACTAATCCCATCGGGTAGGCCCAAACAACACTTCGTTTGGGCCTGGCGGCGCTCTTGAAGCTGCCGCCCGCCGATTGAGGCTGAACCGTCCATCTGGACGGTCCAGGGTCTGGCCTGGCCTCGCAGCATTGAGGCCAGACCATTGCCTATCGGTATAAGTACCGGTATCCGCCTCAGTTGA